TGGCCTTTTTTAAGTCCCCGGCTCGGTTAAAGAGGTCCGATGCCATGGTTCAGGCCCTGGAGAAGGAGACTGTCACGGTTTCTCCAGGTGCTCAGATATTGGCGCCCTTGCAGTTGCAGAAGCAGCTTGACTGCGCAGATACCGTTGGAGGGGTCCTTTTAACCCCTTCGAACAGGGTGATTCAGGGCGCTGATATGCACACCCGTCATGGCTGAAACCCTATTTTCCACCTTCATCCCCACTACCTGAGGGCCGGGTGTCTGATGTGTCCGACAAGCCCGGGCGAACAGTCGCGGAGGGTGCGCCTCAGCGGGACTTTGTAGTTTTGCCTGCAGGATCCCAGCGCCTGACACCTGCGTACCCACCGGCGACACCATCCACAGACAGACCAAGTATGATGGAACAGTTGCCATCTGCTTCTTCTTCTTCCCCTTCATCTTCTTCCCAGGAGGGGCCGCGCCCATTAGGCCATATACATATTGTCCCGGGAGTTCCCCAGGAAGCCCATTCTTGTCCTACTTGGGGGCTCAGCGACGAGGACCCATTCCAAAACTGTTCGATTCTGATAGCCCGCCCCTTCCGTTGTTCTATTAGTCCTGACGCCATCTGGTGGGTGGCCGCAGATGTGAGCTGGGCTGTTACTGCCGGTTGATCTGAAGTCCTTTGTGATACTCACGGGCTGCAGCATGCTGATGGCCGTAGGGCATTGTTCTATCCCTGGGGGCCAGGCTTATTGTTGTGAGTTCTCGTCGGGATTTGTTAATTGTCTCAGTTGTTTATTGTTCTTGTTGTTCCGCTACGCGAGGGATGGAGGTCAGCCGGGATGGCTGATTTTTTGTTTTACAGAGGGGGGGTGATGTAGTGACATGGAATTGGTCACGACGTAGCATAGCACTGGTTGCTGACAGAGAAGGGGATCTGCAAACAGAGAAGGGGATCTGCAGGTGCAGCAGCCCTGTCTGACAGCAGGTCACGTGATAAACCAGAGAGAAGGATGTAGGGGAAAGGTTACAGTGGAGGCACGTGAGGGAAGCCCAGAAACCTGCTAGTATGTTCTAGAAGGGGGCATGGCCGGGGCGGAGTGAGACCATGCTAGGAGGATAAAAGGGGACCACGAGCGAAGGCTCGGGGCTGTTGCCTGGAATAGAATTCCGTTGTGCTGCTGGAGTCTTCGCCACCGTCTTCATCTGCTCGGTGCTGTCAGTCAGGCAGTCTACCAGCTGTCCTGACTGGGGGCTGCAGTTACTCTGTGTGGACCGTGAAGGCTGTTAATAAATAGAGTGCCTCCTACTCTTAGTGTCTCTGAGTCAGTCACTACATATGTATTTAATTCCATGCTTGTAGGGAGCAGTAGTGCAGCGGTTAGCGTGCTGTGCTATGAACCCAGCGACCCGAGTTCGATTCCTGCTCACAGTTAAAACCAGTGACCATTATCTGAAATTCTCCTGGGCCTCCCTTAGGTCTACTTAGCTTCAAATTAATACCTGGTGGGGTTTGTAAAAAGCGCCACCAGAGACACAAAGGCGGCTGGGCATTGTGTTGGCCACCCATTCCTTCGTTTGCCGTTCCGGCCTTCATAGGTGCTCGGAAACAGTACTTGCCCCAACAGTCTGTTAATCTATACGGGAAATATTTGTCTTTGTTTTTATGCCATGTTTGGTATTCGTTCCAGATCTATGCTGAACATGTGTCCACACCACTGGAGGCATGTCTCTTGGATATTTTCTTTCAGTGTTACCTCTTCTGCCAGTTTGTTCTCTTAATTTCAAATTTTCTGTAGTTTGACACACACCATGTGAAAATATTGTTGAAATCAAATAATACTGGGGATTTTGTAGAAAATGTGGTTCCACAGCAATTGGATATATTACCAATATTTATATTTGGCTATTCTGACTACTCTAAATTGTGTCCATAACTGGGAAGTCCTGGACTTAATTCTAGATTTAAAGCTTTCGTGACTGCAAGGATCCATGCTAATTCCTTTATGAAGGTGCTTTGTTTCTTCTCACACAGCTTAAAGGTCGTGATCTGAGCGTGGCTTTTTTCACTCCAGCGCTGTCCTCCAGACAGTCTCGTCCCTTCACCTGATGAAGGCCGCTTGTGTTGTGGCCGAAACGTCGTGATTTTTGTTATTTTATTTTTTACCTACGTGACTTTACCCAATAGAACCAAAGAGTATAGTCCTGGACTTAGTTCACCATGCTGTTTCATACAAGTTGGTGAAGGGGAGGGGGGGACAGGACCGGTTAATTGTGCACAGTGAGATCATCATTGTTACCGCTCGATCCCTGATGACTAGAAGATAAATTGTAATGGTGTAAAGATTAATAGCTCTTTAAAATCTCTAACTTTAAATGTGTAAACTAAATAATACATTGATTTCATCTAAAGCCTAATATTGAGAACTTGCATACTTCTTCAACTAATTTTCGATTTTTTTTTTTTAGTTGATTCAGTGAATATCCTTAAACACAAAACCATAGGCTGTGATTATGAATGTTTCAAGCAACTGATAAACACATTGACTCTGAAAGCACACATTTAAAATAAATACATATTTTAGCCTTTATTTTGAATGCACTTATAGGAAGCTTTGATGGGAAATATTTGAGGCTTGAACACTTTTATTATTTCAATTATTATTGGATGTTTGTGTTAGGTTACACGCTTTTAATGCGATTTTTGTTGTTGTTTCAGTTTGGCGGAACATTATCACAACCAATATAGCAATTAGACGATACGTTTGGTGTGACACTACATAAAGAATATTCAGGACAACATCGAGGAAGTCAGAGTAACAATCCAGGATATGAGAATCAGTGTCAGCTGACAAACGTAATTAAAAACCGACAAGGTTTAAACTAGATAATAATCATTACAAATTAATGTATTTTTAATTGTAGTTTATCTGTACAGATAATTAACATTAACTATACGTACTTATGAATAAACTAATATACTAACCTATAGCATTATGTTTACTGAAAATGTTCGTGTTGTCTTCCTTGGTTATGTGTTTGTGTTCATGCTATGTGTTTATGTTCAGTTGGAAGATGAACAGTTTAGGAGTGGCCAGGGGACTTGAGATTCACTACCAGTGGCACAGGGGAGCTGAGAAAAAAGCTGATAGCGAGAGACATACGACTCAGAGGGCTGCCTACTGCTTCACAGCTAGGCTTGTAACACCGGATTTATGCATGACTGTAAATCTTTGTGTGGAAGGTGATTGATGATCCAGTGCTCAATGATTAATTCAAGTCATTCGCTCACCAGCGTTCAGTCGCCTTATCATTATTATATTGCTACTACTTTGACCACTGTTTCCATGAACTTAACTTATTGATTCGTCCACCGATGTTGAGGACTCATTCTATGAGACTGACTGCTTCCTCTCATCCACACTGTGTTGAACCACCACATTGCATTACAGTTTTCAGCTCTCTGCTTCTTCCCTCACACTGCTTGACTTTGCAATTTACTCCCAACGTCTATTCCCCAAGCTCGTATAACATTGCTCAATTCAATTAAGGGGCCGTCCATACATGACGTCACGCACCTAGGGGGGGCAGGGGGGTCAGACATTTGTGACGATGTGTGACGAGGGGTGGTGGGGGGGTTTGAGAAATGTGACGCCACATCAAAATACACAACTTAAAATATAAACAACACGTTCTACTTAATTAAATATCATTGTTATAACAACAGTAATTTTTTTATAATTTTCATTTTTAACAATTTGATTATTTAAATTTACTAAGGTCACCTTTTATTTAGTCCATGAAGGAGCATTTTGCTTCTCCATGGGAGAATGGAGACGCATACATTTTGTAATTTTTTATTGATTGTTATTAAACATTTTGATTTTAATGATTCTACCAGGGTTTTTCATTTTGTGGAATGTATATGTGATTGTTATAATTGTACTCTCCATTTTGGTTCGTTCTTCTATAAAGTGTAAAGTATTTTTTTATAGTTAGAATTACTTTTAATATTTTATCATTATAACAGAATTTCTAAATAATATTCTGAACATCTGCAGTTTTAGTTAGACGTTGAATATTTTCAAGTGAATCTTATGCTAAATTTCAGCTTTCCAATGCCACCTTTTTAATACATGTGTAGTGGGTACAAACTTGTAGGAGACTTCCTCTTGGAGGCAACACGTTTATTAACAGTAAACGCAACAACAGTTGTCCCTGACATAAAGGGATACGGCCCCTTCCACCCGATATTCGGGCGAGCGTGTCCTATTTAACTCGAGATTACGCTCTCTATCGGGTCCTCCGCTATAGGGACCTAGGGGAGGCTATTCTGACCCGACCTTGCCAGGGTCTCCAGGTCTCACCCCTGGCCCACTCGAACCCGGCTATGACAAGAACCTCGGTTGAGGGGTCCCAGGGCTCTAGACTTGAAATATATTCGGTTCTTCGAGTGGACGACAACTGCCGGTCCCGTTGAGAGGACCGGCTTTTATACACGAGTCGGGGCTCGCTCCGCCCCTAGCCGGGGTCCACCCCTCTGGTCACGAGATACCCAGCGGGAGGTGGGGGGGTTATCTTGGCTTTACTGCCACTCAACCTACTAAGCCTCCCATCCGCCCCCTGTTGACCTATTAGCGTAGTAGCAGGCTAACTTTCACGTAGCGCTTTAATAATGGTGCTACACATGATTTCTCCTACAACATCAGAGTGCGGCGCCACATTAAATACACACTACAATGACAATAGTTGAAAGTGATTTGAAGTCTTTTTGTTTATTTTAAAAATGGAAATATGTTTTTTTTTTGGGGGGGGGACAGAGCTTTGTGACGTCATATTTGAGGGGGGTCTGACTTTTTGTGACGCCGTGTGACGAGAGGGGGAGGGGGGGGTCAAAAATCGGCCAAAATCGCGTGACGTCACTTATAGACGGCCCCTAACGTGTTTCGTCTTATATATTACTACTGTGATCGTGCATATCTTTACTGGATAATTGATGTGTTGGGCCTTGTTGTGCAGAACGTATAACACCTTTACCCCAGATGCTGTTACGCTACAATCTCGAGTGGATGCATTTATGAGGGCCCCAACCATGGCCACTTCCCATGGCCGTCCACGTGATGGTGGAATGGATTTCACACTTACAAATGTAAGTACAATACGGGGCATGATGATGATGACGAAAATGTATTTTATGACATCCAGTATACTGATCACAGACATAATAATGTAATAACTCTTTGATTCTTTCGGTAAAGTCACGTAGAAATAAAATAAATTAAATAGAATACGACGTTTCAATTGCAACACAAGCAGCCGTCATCATGTATAACTACATTTGAGAGAGAGACGAAACACAGACACGGAGACACACAGACAGACAACACAGAGACACGCAGAGAGAGACACACAACATAGACACACAGAGACCCAATGCCTCTGTGTCGTGGCCTTAAATAAAGAGAGGGGGTGCAGAGAGAGAGGTGAGTCTGCTGGAGCAGAGAAATTAGCATGTAAATTAGAGCTGTGTAGAAATCCACCCCGCGGCGGCCGGGGGATAGAAAGAGCAAATAGACCCATGAGAGCCTGGTAAATTATTTCTCTCTCTAAACAGTTACCAGAAGCCTCTTTTTAAGGAGGGTCCTACTGCATTGGGATGTTTGGCCACTTTCAATTACGTTATGTGTATATATGCATGTGAGGAAACCAGAGAACCCTGGAGAAGCCAATACATAACAGGGGGAGAAAATACAAACGCCTCACAGAAAGGCGACTCAGCCAGGAATCAAATCCAGGTCCTTCTTTGTGTGAGATATGTGTTACCACTGCACAACCCTGCCATCAGGATGTAAATGATGGTGCTATTTGTATCCCCTCTCGTATAGCTAAAGGAAAATTCGGTAAATTCTGCCTTTGAAAAGGAGAAACAGGAAGACTCCCAGCATCTCCATTCACCAAACGAAAATGCATCACTCTCAGCTCAGCTGAACACAGAAGTGGCTGATCCTACCCTTGATGTTGAGGTGCGCTGTACTTTTCAGAAGAATGATATGCCATTATGTTTAAATGTACATTCATATTTCTCCACAGTGGTTATATAAATAGTGGGGAAATATGACATGGCCCAGCAGTAGCTCATGAATCACTTGTTGCAGAGCTTCTCCATTTTAATCTGGCAGGCCACCCTGGTTATTAATGAGGATGTATTAACTGATAAAAAAATATGCACCGCCTTCTTAAAATAAAAAATATGCACCGCCTTCTTAAAATATCCTATGAAGCCATTGGAAAATAGTAGGCCATTATGTGCCAGTATCATAGTTCAAATTGCCAAATATATATTTGTACCTATAAATTACTTAATTGCGATTACACATAGCAACATTTTCCCCGACTGTGAAACTACTACAGGCTGTGTGAAAAATAGCACCTATGTGATACCCTCGTGTAAAAGTACTACATTATCAAGCATTTTTTTATTTGAAGCCCACTTTTATGAGCTTTTATTCATATTCTTTTGAATCTACAGATGCTGGCGCCTGATGGACATCCACGCACACTGCTGTCTCTGCCTCCATTTCCCGTGGCGCTGGAGCAGGCATCGCGTGCTCGCTATCTCCGACATAGACACCCAACCTCCACTGAAAAGGCTCTTACACTAAGTCAAATATTTTCACACTAATAATAATGTAATTTTCGTACATTTGGTATTCGCGTCAGTCTTAAAGCACAAGGCTATTATATAATCTGCAGTAGTTTTACAGTAGGTAGCAATGTTGCTTTGTGTATTTTTTCTGTCCGGCCGCATGGCCGATCCTCTGTACGGCTCCCATCGTCGTCGTCGCTTTGTTAGTCAGCCAGCTGTATAGTTAGACTCCGACGATGGGGCTGTATGGATGGGTCAGCTATGCATAGCCCGTATATATATGTCGCTCAGTGATTGTGCCTGTAAGTGTGAGAAATAAATAACGAGCCCTCTACATGTCGTGTCTCGGAAGTCGCTGACTACATATGTAACGGATGGATTTGATACATTGTTCAAACACAAAGACAGAGAGGTTTTCATACAAACAAGTTCCTTAGTTATATATTTAAAAAAATCAGAGCACCAGTTATCAAAAAAGCAACGACACTCGGTTCCAAGAATACGTGACACTCCATAATAGAGGTTTTTGTTAGATCGCCTAAATATGTCATCAAAATCCGCCACCACCCGACACAGCCATCTAGTAAGGGTTGTCACGTGAACAAAACATGCCAATTTGTCACTAGTACAGCACACCGGTGTGTTGGAGAGCCGAGCCACAACATTTACAATCTGAGTACGACGTTCTGCCAGTAAATACAACTAGCTTCATCAGGCGACAGAGAGATTTGTGGATAAGTCTTACTGTTTCATTCCTTATATAGAGGCGTAGATGTGTTGACCACGCTTCTGCACTCTTGCACAATGTGGGGGGGGCGGGATTACTGAGGCAACGTACATTATGCATGTGCATTATGCGAGCCCTTTGAACTTGTCCTTCCTGTCTATTGTGTTTATTAAAATAGCCCTACCAACAGTAATCCCTATTGAAGTACCCTGCCCTTTGACGGCATGCATTTAAATAATGTATTATTTGATTCTAGATTTAAAGCTTTCGTGACTGCAAGGATCCATACACTTTGGTTCTATTCGGTAAAAACACGTAGGTAAAAAATAAAACGACAAAAATCACGACGTTTCGGCCACAACACAAGCGGCCTTCATCAGGTGAAGGGAGCAGGTTGTCTCGAGGACAGCGCTGGAGTGAAACACAGCCACGCTCAGACCGCGACCTTTAAGCTGTGTGCGATGAAACAAGGTGCCTTGACAAAGGAATTAGCATAAAAATTAGCATTTGATTGGCCAACTTAGCATGATGAACGGTGTAGAGGTGGTGTACATGCGGGTGAACATGCCGGTTGGCGCGGGGGGGGAGGGGGGGTTTACCTATTGATGGTGTGAAAAGGGATTTTTTTAAGAGCTGCGAAAGTTTGGGGTACCACTACTTGAAAAATATACTGTACCATTGAAAATTAGTTTAATGCTTGGTTCGATTTAGAACATCTTTCCAATGGTTGCTTAATTTGAAACCATTTTCTCAGTTGAAATTGTGTTTGTAGATCTGAATTGCCTCGTGAACAAATCTCTGATAAAAACCCGTGGGTTTGCAAAGAACCTTGGTATCGGAGAAAATTATATCGTGATCACCCACACCGTTGTAACAGTGATCAGCTACGGCAGAAGAATTCGTTCTGCCGTGTTTCAAATCTGATTTGTGCTCGCGAATTCGGTCAGAGAAATGACACTTTGTCTCCCCGATATAGCAATCACCGCAGGTACAACTCAATTTGTAAACCCCAGGGTACTGTAAGTCAGGAATGACACCCTTCACGGATGGGATCAGATCACGAATTTTGTGTACTGTATTGAACTGGACCTGGATCTTGTGTTTGTTTAGAATTTTGGAAATCTTTTTAGTAACGCCTGCTATATATGGTAGTGTGATGGTTTTGACCGGAGTATCAAGTAGTTGTTTCTGTATGGAGGGAGAAACAGCTTGGCGGATGGTATGGTCAGAGTATCCATTCCTTTTGAGGGCCAGGTGTACATGTTTTAATTCACTGGTCAGGTGGTGTTGGTCCGAAATGCAATGAGCCCTATGGTATGAAGTTTTGATGAGATAATTATTTTGGGCTGGTTGGTGGTGGGAATCAGGTTTCAAGTAGGAATCTGTGTGGGTGGGTTTCCTGTAGACAGAATGCCCCAATGCGCCATCAGGTCTCCTCTCAAACAGAACATCTAAGAATGGTAGCTTGCCATCTTTCTCCACTTCCATGGTGAATTTGATGGCGGGATGTCTGGAATTGATGTGGTGTAGGAAAAGGTTCAGAGCTGGGAGGCCATGTGGCCAAATGATGAAAGTGTCATCTACATATCTCTTCCACAGGGAAGGTCTGAGGGTGGAAGTCTGGATGGCGTCTGATTCAAATTTCTCCATGAAAATATTGGCTATCACTGGTGACAAGGGGGATCCCATGGGGGTACCCTCATTTTGTTTGTAGAAGGAGCCGTTCCAAGTTAAATAGGTATTGTTGAGGCAGTGCCTAACCAGTGCAGGTGTATCGGGGTCTAGTCCATGTTGGACCAAATTTTCAATTATTTCAATGGTATCAGGTACTGGGACCTTGGTGAACAAAGAGACCACATCGAAGCTGACAAGGATATCGTCAGGGGACAGTACAACGTCTTTGACCATAGAGACCAATTGGGCTGAGTTAAGTACTCCTGAGGCAGTCTTGCCAGAGACAGGCAGCAAGGTATCTGACAGAAAACGGGCTAGTCTATAGGTAGGGGAGATGATCGTGGATACGATGGGTCGTAGTGGGGTGCCTTCTTTATGAATCTTGGGAAGACCATATAATCTAGGGGGTCTTGCAGCAGAAGGTTTTAGGGAGGGACGTTTAGTTGGGTCGATTAGGGAGGTCGAACTTGTGATGATCTTGTTGTTTTTTTCGCTAGGCTTTTGGTAGGGTCATTTTTAATTTTTGAATAACTTCCATCATTGAGCAGATTCTGGGTTTTGTTGTTGTATGAATCTTTATCCATAATTACAGTAGCGTTGCCTTTATCGGCTGAGAGGATGACTATATCACTTCTGTTTTTTTTTAATTCGCGAGTTCAGAGCGTTCATTTTTGCTGATGTTACTAATGGGTTTCTTAGCATTCTTAAGAATAGTGGCTATTCAGCTCTCGCAACGTCTGCTTGGATGTGTCCTACGCCTTTGAGGGCTACATCGACCTGAGAGATGATATCATCTACTGGTATGTGTTTTGGGGTGACAGCAAAATTCAGTCCCTTATCCAGTACTGTTTTCAGATTGTCCGAAATCGGGGTGCTACTCTGATTAATGACGATTTTGTTGACGTCCAGTTTTGTTATACGTGGAACTGGGTTCTTCTTTGATAGGTGGTTGAATTTATAAATCAGGATTGCTTTACATTTTACTGACAGTGAATCAGCAGAAGAAGCAGTCATGTTGTCTACGTGATTCCAATCAGAAGGTGACATTTTTTGTGTTAACATTAAATGAGCTTGTAGGAGAGTCCTGTCTAAAGTAGCGAGTTCAAATCGGAGTAGCCTTATCCTCTCTGAGATTAAAGATAGGCTGGCCTTAAACAGAATCTGTTTAGAATTCGGAGAAGATACAGCAGCAGAAGTGAGTGTGAAAGCGATGGGTGTTACCTTGTGATCGTGGCATCTTTTGAGGAAGGTCAGCGTCTCGATGAGCTGTGACTTCTTGTCCCGTTGTCTGTTAAAAGCTCTAACAGATAGGTGAAAGCCCTTCCCGTAGAGGTTATCAATTCTAGATTTAAAGCTCTCGTGACTGCAAGGATCCGTACTCTTTGGTTCTATTCGGTAAAGTCACGTAGGTAAAAAATAAAACAGCAAAAATCACGACGTTTTGGCCACAACACAAGCGGCCTTCATCAGGTGAAGGGACCAGGCTGTCTCGAGGACAGCGCTGGAGTGAAACACAGCCACGCTCAGACCGCGACCTTTAAGCTGTGTGCGAGGAAACAACGTGCCTTGACAAAGGAATTAGCATAAAAAATAGCATTTGATTGGCCGACTTAGCATGATGAATGGTGTAGAGGTGGTGTACATGCGGGTGAACATGCCGGTTGGGGTGGGGGGGAGGGGGAGTTTACCTATTGATGGTGTGAAAAGGGAATTTTTATTAACTGTGAAAGTTTGGTGTAGCACTACTTGAAAAATATGCTGTACCATTGAAAATTAGTTTATTGTTTGGTTCGATTTAGAACATCTTTCCAATGGTTTCTTAATTTGAAACCATCTTCTCGGTTGAAATTGTGTCTGTGTTTGTAGATCTGAATTGCCTCGTGAACAAATCTCTGATAAAAACCCGTGGGTTTGCAAAGAACCTTGGTATCGGAGAAAATTATATCGTGATCACCCACAGCGTTGTAACAGTGATCAGCTACGGCAGAAGAATTCGTTCTGTGATGTTTCAAATCTGATTTGTGCTCGCGAATTCGGTCAGAGACATGTCGCTTCGTCTCCCCGATATAGCAATCACCGCAGGTACAACTCAATTTGTAAACCCCGGGGTACTGTAAGTCAGGAATGACATCCTTCACGGATGGGATCAGATCATGAATTTTGTGTACTGTATTGAACCGGACCTGGATCTTGTGGTTGTTTAGAATTTTGGAAATCTTTTTAGTAACGCCTGCTATATATGGTACTGTGATAGTTTTGACCGGAGTATCAAGTGTTTGTTTCTGTATGGAGGGAGAAACAGCTTGGCGGATGGTACGGTCAGAGTATCCATTCCTTTTGAGGGCCAGGTGTACATGTTTTAATTCACTGGTCAGGTGGTGTTGGTCCGAAATGCAATGAGCCCTATGATATAAAGTTTTAATGAGAGAATTATTTTGGGCTGGGTGGTGGTGGGAATCAGGTTTCAAGCAGGAATCTGTGTGGGTGGGTTTCCTGTAGACAGAATGCCCCATTGAGCCATCAGGTCTCCTCTCAAACAGAACATCTAAGAATGGTAGCTTGCCATCTTTCTCCACTTCCATGGTGAATTTGATGGCGGGATGTCTGGAATTGATGTGGTGTAGGAAAAGGTTCAGAGTTGGGAGGCCATGTGGCCAAATGACGAAAGTGTCATCCACATATCTCTTCCACAGGGAAGGTCTGAGGGTGGAAGTCTGGATGGCGTCTGATTCAAATTTCTCTATGAAAATATTGGCTATCACTGGTGACAAGGGGGATCCCATGGGGGTACCCTTATTTTGTTTGTAGAAGGAGCCATTCCATGTAAAGTAGGTATTGTTGAGGCAGTGCCTAACCAGTGCAGGTGTATCGGGGTCTAGTCCATGTTGGACCAAATTTTCAATTATTTCAATGGTATCAGGTACTGGGACCTTGGTGAACAAAGAGACCACATCGAAGTTGACAAGGATTTCGTCAGGGGACAGTACAACGTCTTTGACCATAGAGACCAATTGGGCTGAGTTAACTACTGCTGAGGCGGTCTTGCCAGTGAAAGGCAGCAAGGTATCTGACAGAAAACGGGATAGTCTATAGGTAGGGGAGTTGATCGTGGGTACGATGGGTCGTTGTGGGGTGCCTTCTTTA